CTTGGCAGAACAGCCATGGCAAATCTCACCAAGATAATGAAAGATAAAGACATTTCCATTCATACTAAGAAAAGAATTGTAGAAGCAATGGTTTTCCCTGTAACATTATATGGCTGTGAAAGCTGGACTCTAAGGAAAAAGGAAAGAAAAATGATAGATGCATTCGAATTATGGGTATGGAGAAGATTACTTAGAGTTCCATGGACAGAAAAGAAAACAAATATCTCAATTTTAGAAAAAATTAAGCCAAGCTTCTCCTTAGAGTCAAGAATCTTAAAACAAAAATTGACCTACTTTGGACATGTGATGCGTAAAGAAGTTTCCCTAGAGAAGACTATTATGCTGGGAAAAGTGGAAGGTAGAAGGAAGAGGGAAAGGCAACGGATAAGATGGATAGAAGAAATAGAAAAAGTCACAGAAATGAAGCTGGATGAGCTACGAGAGACAACAAGGGAAAGATCAAGATGGAGAAGACTTGTCCATGAAGTCACCAGGAGTCGACGACGACTCGATGGAACTTAACAACAAAAAACGAATTTAGCGTTAGCCTTGGTCCTCGACATCGGAATTTTGAAGTGAAAAGGGCGATATTACGTAACGGTTTTATTGAAGGGGCGATACTACGTTGAAGGGGCGACGATTCGTTACAGGTTGAGAAACACTGCCCTAGACATCACTGACTGACTGTCCCTGGAAGTCGGCTTCTTACAGAAACACAGCTTCCCTATCATCAAATGTCACGGCACGCCACTGTAAGGTGCTACAAGGTTGCTTTATACTGTATCGATATTCTACGGACATTGTCTCTTTGTTATGATATTGTAATGACATATTACCATCGTCATTACATTCGCACTATATTATAGGCTTATAAGGTTTAGCTCGATTTTAAATTAACGCCTTCTTGCTGCATGACTTTTTCGTCAATGAATGTATTATATCCATTAATATCGTATTTCAAAAATTTACAATTTAAAAACAGAATAAAACTTTAATGTATGTTACAACATAAAGGTGGAATTTTTGCGTTAATGAAATTTATTTTTTAAATTAGTACAATAAATGTCATAAATTAACTGCGAATTCTCTCGTATTTCAAAATCATAAAACTCTCCGATTATGTTATTTGTATAATATTTTCCTGTTTACAGGTGTTAGATTGACTCTGGAAATCATTAAGACATAATGATGTAACCAACCAAACTTATAATTATTCGAAACATATGTAGAATTAATTTGTTTACATCCTTATATTACCAAACATTCGCTTCTAAAAATCATTTTACATAAAGTATATTCATTTAAAAACTAAACAGAAATTAAATTTTTATGTAACAGAAAAATACGCATTTTTTATATAATAAAAGATATAATAAAAAACATTATTTTACGTAATGCAAATTTTTAACTAATAATTTTAATACGTGATTAATTATATTCCTAATTTACTCAAAGTTCATTATATGCATTCAAAACACAATAAATTATAGAAGTAATATTTTCTAGAAAACAAACATAACTAAAAATCATTAATTGTGAAATGTATGACAGCAATTTTAGAAATGAAGTCATATGATGACTAACTTTAAACCTTATAAAGTCAATGCAATGATTATTTTATTTAAATCAACCTTCAGCCGTTGCCTGTAAGTTTCAAGTGTTATCCAGTTTGGTGAGTACTTTATTTTGGTTTCGGAATAATATAAATTATAATGTATTATATGTTACTTGCGTTATATACTTGTATGTGTGTGTGTGAGAGTCTGTATAAGATGTACACGAGTATGTATTCAAGTACAGCGGAACCTGAATAAAACGGAAACCTGTTTAAGCAAAAAAAATTCTTTGAAACGAAGCGATAGAGTTTTATGTTAAACTTAACCTATTCAAAACGGAAAGTGCCAAATCGGAAAAAATATTCGGTACTGTTCGATTTCGGTTTATACAGGTTTTACTGCGTATATATACTGTACGGTACATAATTTAAGTTACGTTTAAGTGTGTTGACGTAAATGTATTTAATGCACATTTCATGCAGTCTATATATAAATACATGCTTATGTGAATACGGGGGCGTAAGGCTCCCGTTCACTTGTCAGGATGATACGTCAGGCGAGTGAAAGGAGAGTTGATTGGGGTCGATGATAAGGTGAAGGGCGAGATCGAGTAAAGGAGTCTACTATATTTTTAACAAATAAAATAACAATTTATTAAAGAAGCAAAATGGACAAAAATACTACACAAACAGCGTTTCTATACCGCTCTAGAGAGAGTTTCACAGTGCTTTCATACCTCTTATAGCCGTCCCCTTTGACGATTCTAAACGTGAATGCCTTTAAAATATCGATTCAAGGGAATAGGTAGTTATAATCCACAAATACGGCACAAATTACGTATATCGCGACTTTAGCGATGCTTTAATTCGAGGTTCATCGGAGATCGGAATTCGGCGAGTCGTCTATCCGGCGTTTGTTCAGAGACTCCCCTGAGAGGGGGTAAGAACGGCTTTTTATCCGTTTTAGTGGGGAATTTCCACCACGTGATCGGATGTACTGTACATAGGTTAGGGGTTATAGGTGTTCCTAGGATCTACAACAAATGACGACATTTAGATGCTAACTATCAACCTTTTTGCAAGATGAGATGCAAGTTCTGCAAAGAACAATAGATGTTGATAGTTATGACCGGAAAGTTTACACAATCCCGGGCAAGATCGTTTTTTTCTACTAGGGCGTTACATAAACAAAAGTTTACTTAATTAACAATTTTGTTAATAAATGAGCGATATTTCCGTCACCAAAATTCCGGATCTCACAAGAGAATCAATGATTCTTCTTGTTTTTTCTTGTTGGCTCCCTTACGAACATAAATGGGCTATATTATGAAGTACAAAGTGGGTTTTGTATTTATATTTATAACTTAAAAAGCTAATGTAATTTAATTAATACTAAAAATCTATATTTAAAATGAAAATATTTACCTAAAAACTGCTTTTCGTCAGAAAATGTCACGTCCTTAACTTCCAGTTTACTTTTTGTTACTCTCAAACTAAACTTGGAAAGATAATTATTAAATTATAGATAGATATGATTAAATTATAGATCTTTACAGCTCTCGTTCAATGCAAACGAAGCAAGAATCTCGTCGGCCTATAATTATACATATATTTTCTTTTATACCGTATTTTAACCTTTATGGGAGTAAATAATACAACTTAAATGCATTAGAGTCGTATTATAAAAGTAAAAATCCAGACCATAATGATTCAATCGTTTAATCATTTAATTTGACTACACGGAAATGTGTAGTCAAATAAAAACTCACTCCAAGAAAACGCTACAGGGGAGCACCGAGTGACTCAAACTACTTTCTAGTCAAAGTAATTATAAAAATGTAGTTTATACTAATTTTATACAAAAGTATGAATACTTTTATATACTTCATCCATTTTTGGTGGGTACTTAGTTCTCGTATGATCGAAAACATAGGACATTTTGTAATAAGAACGAAGAAGAAATATCCTCCTGGCTTCATTAATGAGGAAATAGCAGAAAACAACTTCTTAAAATCATTTACAAAATGCAAGGCGTAGAAAGACACGACTTTGTCATATTTTCCAATTTCTTTTAAATCGATCCTGAAAATGGTAAAGTTCGAATTATATTTTACATCTTCAATTAAATCTATTTTTAAAATAGATCGAGTCCTCGTTTAGCTCTTTAAGGATAGATACAAGTACCGTACATTTGCACGCATTGACAAATGCACTTGTTTCTTTATTTGTNATATATTAAAACAGATAAAGTGATTGATGTTCGGCTTCCTAAAAAAATAAGCTATATATAAACTTTATTAGATAATATATAAAAATAAAGAGAAAGCGAATGTGTAAAGAAAAAATATATATAGTTGATTTCGACGAGAAAACAGAATTGTACCTGAAATTTAATACGTGTAGAGCAATTGTGAAACGGAATCTCTCTATACGTATTTGTAACATGTGTAGAGAGTAACTCTTCTCCAGATAAAAGACAAGGTGAGTCCCTGTAATAAATTAGATAATTAGAATGTTCAATATGTTATTGAAGGATGTAAAGTAAGCGCAAGATTCGAATGAGATTAATTTTTTCTAATTGAGTGTTATTTCATTCTTTGTTGTTTATGCATAAAGTTATGCATAGATTTGTTTCTCTCAAATGTACAATTTTGTATCGGTGGTATGCTTTTGTATATGTTCAAAACTATAAAATGAATGTGTTTTAAAAGAAGTTAGAAGTTGTAAGATTTGATTAATTACGCGTAGGAAATACTATTTAACGTACAAAGTCACATACTATATTTTTTTTACATAATCCTGAATGAGATATGACTTATTTCTGTGTTAATATCACGTTAATTAACAGAGAATAAATCATTTAAAGAAATGATTTATTCTCTTTCATCTACTTATTGTATTGTGCTATGTATGAATATATGTAGTATAATAATAAGTGCAAGTTAGGCTAATAGTATGAGAAAAATGAATAATTTCGATAACACTTAAACACTATTTAATGTAATTAATTATTTCATTTATGTACAATAAAATCTGTCTAAAACGGAATCTGAATAAAACGGAAATCTGCCAAAGTGGGAAACATTTGGTATGGTACGATTTCAGTTTACACAGGTTTACTGTACATTTTGTTCGATAATTTATAAAATTTACTTAAAATTCTGGTTAATTTTAATGTTATTGTAAGTTGCTTAACTTACTAAATAATAAATGTAAAGCATAAAAATAGTATGAGAGAATATATGAAAAATTTTTAATGAGAAGTATTAGTTTTTAGTATATGATTTAAACTGTAATTACATCGATCAAAATTGAGCTAAATTCTTCATTTATTATAAGCTGACCATAATAATAAATAATTGTATACAAATATTCATTTAGGTAAGAAATTTAAGCAATCTACATAATTTAGAAAGTGATTCTGTGCAATAAAACTTATTCTACACGGTATTCAATATAATAAGAGGCTTGCACAAATAACTCCGAACAGTTTTCTCTATATGTCAATAGAAAATACATAAACTGCAGAAATTTCTATGATGAACTCTGTAAACATTATGTTAATGTTAATTACCACATTTTCTAAACAAATTTAGAACAGTTATCAGATAATGGTACTGTACATTAAAAACGAACATTTTGTTGTCTTTAAAACAAACACAGATAAAAATATAAAAATCCGGCTAAAAATCGTTTTTTCTTCTAACGCGTTACATAAACGAAAGTTTAATTAATTCACATTTTTGTTAATAAAGGATCGGAATGTTCGTCAATAAAATTCCGGATCTCACACTTATATTATCATTATAAAAAAGTAAATTTAAATATTTGTTGAATTAAATTAGTATTTTGTAAATTCAAAATAATGTTTCTATTCGTGTGTTTTAACTGAAAAGTACAGTAAGAGAAATCTAATTATAACTAGCAATTTTTCCTAATTCTGATTTTGAAATAGTGTAGGCCTATATTTTCGGTACAGGAAAATAATTATTAGTCAAAATTAATCAAAATCATAACTTTAGAACTTTATTTCTTATTATTCTTTATTCTTCCTGCATTTAAAAATCATACAAAACGAATAAATTAAATCTATAATAATTTGTAGTGTTGTTAATTTAGGGTTTTTTTTCGTATGTAATAGNTTAATACTAAATTTTGAAATAATAAAACTATAGAGTATCGTAAAACGATACTCTACATTTTTGTTGGTTTAAAACTTTCAATAACGATCACATCCCAACAATGGTCACCTCTAAACAGCGGCCATTCATTATATTCCCATCGGTGGCCGTTGTTTAGAGGTTTGATTGTATTTATTGAATAAAAAAAATTAAAATAGACAAAGTTTAAGAATTGATTAAAATTTATTAAATTATTTAAATGATAACTTTACAAAGTAATAAGCGTTTTACATACAAAATTTTTGTTTTCTTATTATTAAATAATTAATGTTTGTAAATCGATAATTAATTTTCATAGTAAAATAAAAATATTGTATTTATAATTGGCTGATGAAAAATTTTGCTTTTTATTTCTGCAACTGTTCAATTATTATTCATTAATAAATTATTTACTTTACCATGATTTTTAAACATTTTGATGGAATTTTTTCTTAATTAAAGATATAAATATTGGTAAATGTAAAGTATGCCTTTTCTTTCGTGACCTTGCCATAGATCATAGTGCAGGCACTGCGTTTAGGGCATGCATCGCAGGTATTTGTGGTAATAAAGCATGTGACAAGTTCAAATGCGTTTTCTTGCTGTATTATATTCCCAATAGTGTCTAATTTAGGGACTTTTACTATGTGACTGAATTAAGTCCAATAATAATGAGAAAAAATATGAAAATGTTTTGGATTTAGTATGCAAATTTGAAGAGGAATTAAAAAAGTAGATGCATAGATTATGGTTACGACAACGCAACACTTGGGAGATCTGTATAGGGAGAATGCCTTCCGGGAGGTCTTTTTAAAGGTAACTGGCCCCTATTTAGGCGTTACAGACGTGGAGAAAACCCGAAAAACTCGACTGTGGCCAGTGGCAAGCCCGTCTTGGCGAGGCGCGAACCCACGACCGAACTCACATTATTCAGGGAATGGAACCGCTTTGCCATTGGTGGGCCAATGACATCCTGCAGCCGCATGTATTGCTTCTCATGGCAGGGCTTCCAAAGAAATTTTCCAACAGGACGATGCTCGACCACACACATAGCAAGGGTGTCACATTACCATACTTCTCTGGCCTGCCCGGTCCTATAATTTGTCACCGATAGAACATACCTGAATTTACCTGGGGCGCCAAGTTTGACAGCCTAGGAGTTTGGCTGAACTAGAGGACCGCTTGCAGCAATTGTGGACTGAGATGCCGCAGGACACTATATGGCACCTGTATGCCTCCATGTCTTCTATATCACATCGTGAATTCACACTAGAGGTAGCCCAATATGGTACTAGATTCCAAATAGTTTCATTTGTAGTTTTTCCTTCAATAAATGATCCTTTTGCTTTCATTTCGTAATCACTTTCTTATACTATCGTTATACTCATACGTGTACAATTTCGTTCGAATTCGACAATTTCTTAGTGCGTTAATTATTATGGCATTGAGGGTATATTTTTTAATTGTCCACTGTATGTATCTGATTGAGTTATGAACGAATAATTTTATAATTTTAAACAGACGTTTGTTTCGTATAAGAGACTGTGAAACTAAACTATTTCTATAATATAAATTATCTACTTTCCTAGAGAAAGAAAATAAAATGATTTCCTTCACTTTAATTTGTCTGGTGTCTGGTTTGGTTGTAGTTAACAGTTACGTTGCAATAATGGAGGTTCCTGCCGTTGACGGTAAGTTATTAATATTAATATTTTATTTCTTTGCATATTTTAATAGAATGTATTTTATAAATGATTTGTTTAGGAAATATATGGGTATATTTACAAATGTGAAACGAGTACAGTAGCACTACGTTATATCACGCGTATGGTAGACATTAAATTATTCTCTAAAGCGTTGTTATATTTGGAAGACCCCAAAAATGAGAGAATTTTCCGAATGAAGAATGTAACAAAGCGCAATATAACAAATTGATCATATTTCAAATACTCATAAATTAATAATTGTGCATTATAAGTTAGAATATAATTTAATGGAATTTTTATAAGAAATAATAACTTTTGTAGGAAAGTGCTATATTAAAGGAAAATTGTTCAAATTCGGGGATACTTACTACGAAGAAGAAAAATGTGAGTCCTGGAAATGCGAAACATCGTCAAAACTTGTATCCTTTAAACTGTCAGAAAATGGAACTGTTCAGCCCATTTATCGTTTACAAGCATACTTCCACATAATTGGGTAAATATCGAAATTTTACACAAAATACACATTTTGAGTTTACATTTAATGTTTGAAATACTTTATATTGAATAGATGCGGTGTTGCAGTTATAGAAAAGGATGGAAAGTTTTGTCGTGTTCAAAGTACTAAAGGCAAACATCCTAAATGTTGCCTTGGTCCTGCGGTTTGTCCTTAGGGAATTATTTTTATAATAATTTCTTTTCGTGTAAATATTCCTTTGAAATATAACTCGAAATGTTTGCATTATGTAAAATCAAAGGAGATCATAAAATAAACGTAAGTAACTAATAATCTCAATAAACAAAACTTAATGTTATTTCTGTTCAAAATAAAAACCAAGTATGAAATTTAGAAATAAATTTGTAGGAGTTAGATCAGATAATAATAATAATAATTCTTCATTCATAATAAAGAATCCTTGTTACAGGGGGAATTGAGTAAAATACAAAAAAGAAGATTATTAAGTAAATAAAATTAATTTAATTATTTATATAAGATATATAACTGATTAATTGAACATATAGTTATTTCTTATAATGGACATTCAAATCATTAATACTTTGGTTAATGAAATTAACAATTTTATAAATATTCATTTTTGATAAATTTCCCAACTTGGATCTATAGTTAAATTCATTATTTGAACAAAATATTTTTAGAGTTTGAAATTGTTGATGATAGTTTTTCAACGAAGTAAGTCTATGAGCAGATGAAGTGCAGAGAAATTGTTGGAGTTACACCAATAACAAGACTTAGCAAACTTAATATAAGTATTATTTACAATTAAAGAGAATTGATTAAGTCTCAATTGAAGTAAAATACGTTTAATATTTAAAGTAGTATTCATTGTAATAATGTTCTATTGAGTGGGAAAGTTTAAAATATGCAAATACCAAGGACGATATGTTGAGTTAAGTATAGCATTTTGATCACTAATCATCGAATGCGAAATCGCTGAATCCATCATCATAGTGTAAGCATTTTTCCAATTGTCAATCTAGTTGTCAAATAAAGCACTAGATACGCCGAATGACTGTAGAACTTTATTAAACTTGTAGCACCACGTTGCTTTGTTGATATTATCGTTTTTCATTTGAGTATTCATAATATGAAGTAAAAATTTAATATTTTCATCTTTTGAGTTTAATAAATGGTAATAAAATTTAATTAATCTTTTCATAAAGAAGGGAAAAAGTTGACATCTGTTTGATTCTAAGCGTATAGCATATCTTGGTACAGTACGTTCGAGTTTAAATAGTTTACGAAAATATATAATATGGAATTTTTCCAAGTCATAAAATAAATCAATGGCCCAAATCGGATTGGCATATAGAATAGCTGGCATTATTATTCTCATATGAAGATATAAATTCGAAATTTTTAGACTAGCAGCTAAATAGAGAGTATTATTTATCAGCTGATTGATTTTTTTATTGAGGTATTTCAAATGCATCTGAAATTTACCATTCCAGTTGAAAGTCGTACCTAAGTATTTTATATTATTGACCAATTCTAACGGTTGATCGTTTGTATAAAAGGATTTTTCTTGATTTGCAAGTTTAACATTGTTTCTGAAAATTATTATTTTTGATTTATCAATATTGATCGATAAAAAATGGATTTCAGATAACCGTTAGTTTTATTAAGTTTATGTTGTAAAGTAATTTTGGTTGGGGCCAATAAAACCAGATTGTAGGCGTATAGTATGTAATGAAATGTTCTTCCAAATATATAATTGCCTTCTGAATCATTTAAAAACAGCTTATCTATATCATTAATATAAAAGTTAAACAAATAAGGCAACAATGGCTCACCTTGTAAAATTCCTCGATTTATAGTAATTTTAGCATATCGCTGATTACCGTAAACAATACTGATTTTATATGAGGGAAAAAGATTCTTAATTGTAGTTGCAAGTTTGGTACCTGCCCCAAATATTTTTAATTTGTTAACCAAAGAGGGTACATGTATAGAATCAAAAGCTTTCGTAATGTTAATGAATGCAGCAATAGTTTTTCTTCGTTTTTTCTATAAGTATATTTGAATTAATGAATTTAACAAGAATATTGCCGATTCGGTTCCTTTAGATTTGACAAAAGCAAATTGGAAAATCGAATTTAGTTTTAGGATTGTAGTCCATTTTTGAAATCGTAATGCCAATATAGATGTGAAACATTTTCTTATAGTTGATAACAGAGCGATGGGTCCATAATTCTTTAGTGCTAATCTATTTCCTTTTTTGTAAATCATGAGTAACTTGACGGCATTCCATGATGTCGAATAAGTAAAATGATCGTAAAAATAGTTAAATATTTCAAGTAGTAATTGCTTTCCTGACGGAGGTAAAAGTTTGATGAATTTATTAGTAATTAAATCTGGACCTGGCGATGATTTTAGTTTTAATTTTTCAATGGCGTATTCCAGTTCATCATATGCAAGAAGTGAATCAAACAAATCATTCGTTAGGGTTGTTTGGTGAATATTTGATAAATTTTCAATTAACGGAAATCTATTGAAATAGTCAGACCATATTGAGATGTCTGTATCTGATTGTCGTTCTGGAGAAGTTTTCCGCAATTTTTGAATTGTTGACCAGAAAAGTAGATTATTTTTGTTTGCTAGCATTCGTTGTTGTAGATTTTTGAAATAGTTTGACTTTTTTACTTTTAGTAGATTGAAATATGATGTTTTTAGTTGTTTATAATAGTTAAAAAATTCGTCTGAATAACATATTCTAAATTGTTTTAGAGCTTTATTCTTCTGAATTTTAAGTTTGTAACAAATCAAATCAAACCATGGCTTCTTAAATTTATGTGATATAAAGGTGCACTTTGATTTAGCTGTTTGTATAAATTCTTTTATTATTCGTTCAAATCGAAAATATTTTTCCATTTTCTTCGTTGGAACGTAATTCAATAAATGTTTAATTCTTTTACCAATCGAAAGTTGATATTGTTGATAGTTATATTTGATTATTCGATGTGATATTGTTTCAGACTTATATAATTGATTTTTTGCTATTTGAATAGACATTTTTATGGAAAAATGGTCAGAAAGATCGTAGTTTAATACTTGAATCCGCCTACATAAGTCAGTAATTAGTTCTGAACATATTATTAAATCTATTGTTGAACAGCCAGAATTAGTCAGACAAGTAAATTCCGCCGGGTAATCATTTTTAATTCTGCCATTCAGAATATATAGTTGTAGTTGATCCATATATTCTAGTAATTGAAGTCCTATTTTGTTATATTTTTTGTCTTTTGATTTACGAATATTTTGAATCGCTAGATTAGGTCCCTTGTATTCCATATCCATTTTTTTAGATTTCTCGCATTTAAATCTCCTATTATAATATATGGGGTAATAATTTTCCATTGTTCTATGAGCATAAAAATAGCATTTAAAATCAGAAGTTGATCTGGAGGAATATAAACTAATATACAATTATCGTTTTTCTGTATATTCTTAATTACACCTATATTTTTTTATGAATAAACTTAAGCCATCGTATGGACGACCGGGCCCAACTGGTTTATGCGCCACGGTTGATATAACAGTAAATTCCATAAAATTACTTTTTAATCCTTCATCTGGCAAAGTCAACCAGGTTTCCGTTAGACCCATATATCACTATTATTTAATAAATGTTTAAATTCAATATTATTAATTTTTTTCAATAAGCCATTACAGTTCCAATTTATTATGCTTAGATAAGATTTTTCTTGATTTTTATTGTAATCAGTTTCATTATTGAGTATTATAGGAGATTGACAATTAACAGAATTATTTAAGTCGTATATTCTAAAAAATCCTCTGCGTATACCAATTGATTTATTAATTAAGAAACTGTAAGTTACTTTTTTCTGTTTGATTAGAAGAAAATCATCTCGTAATTTAGATTGTATATTTCGTGTTTTTAAATCGATATAGTAAGGTAATAAAGCTTTTTTTCTCTTACGAGAATTAACAGCCAAATCTACAGACATGTTTAAGTTTTGCCATGGTCCCATCGAATTATTTTGTTTTTGTTTATTGAAGGTGATCATAATTTTATTTCTCAATTGATCAGACTTTAAGATTAAAGATTTGATATTAACCTTTGAATTAGGAATATTACGGATTGATTTAATTTCCTCATCCATTTTGCATGGGATATTTGGTGTATGATTCAAAAAGTTCAGTATGTCCTCTTCATTCCCGTCAGTTAATATTTTCGAATGATCATATATTATTAAATTATTATTATTTAGTTTATTATGCATTGCATCAATCTTAAATTGAAGAAGTTCATTCTCATTTTTTAATTTTTTAAGTTCGGATTCGAATTTATCATTTCTATCCCTAATAGTAATAGAGTTGACTAGTAAAGTCACTAATTTCATTATGAATAGTAGTAATTTCTTTGCGAATTAAAGAAAATTGACTTTCTATTTTTTCATTACTAGACGTGATCAAATCAACTATCTTCGTCCAGAGAAGTAAAGTTGTAGTGACAGATAATTCCATATTTGAAGTTGCAAAAGAAGGATTCAAAGTAGGATTTTCACTTACCGAATTAGTCGATTTAACTCTTCGTGGTTGAGTATAATCGGTAATTAAGTAGTTTTCACCTTCAGCTGGTTTAGTGTTAAGTGAAGATTGCGTAGTTCGGTTTGTTGGATGTCTACCTCTTTTGGTTGGCGTTTTTTGAAGCGGTGCTGGGTTCGGCTCAATTCCAGACATTAGTAGTAATAATTGAGTCAGTTCTAAGTTAAACATTGTAGAAACAAAATCAGGAAAAACAATACATTAACTAAAGAACCAATGCGTAATCGAAAACACACCAATTTCCATGACGAACTGAGCGTCTCCCGTTATCGTTCCGTAGCAAGCTATAGATATTGGGTGCTCTTTTATAGACAATTCTCGAGTTTTTATAAGAAAAAAAGCACCCAATATCTATAGCTTGCTACGGAACGATAAAGATAGCGTAAAAAAGGAAGAGAAAGCTGGGGTATATAAAATACTATTTGAAAATCAACAGTTAAGAATTGAAAAGGATTATGTGGGTTGACTAGAAGAAACCTGGAGGTACTGTACATCTGCGAGAACATAGATACAATGTTGACAAAGGGCACAACAACACAATATTAGCAATTATGATGCAAACTGAAGGAGCGGTTGTAAAACAGGTAGAGGCAAAAGTCATTAAAACGGTGCGCTCTCCATCCATTGCGTTGGAGATGGAAAAGGTGGAAATTTATAAAAATAAAATGCCTAACTAGTTGCCTAAATGCTAGGGATGCTAATGCTCTTCCAACAGCATGGAAATATATAATAGAAAAAAGAATGGGACTTGAATCCCTTAAATTATGTTTCTTTCTAGTTAGCTTTGTTTTCTATGTTTTATTTGTTTATTTACTTCTTATTTATTTAATATACACACTTCCAATTTATTTTAAAGTTAAATTATTTTTTTTGAATTTTAAATATGTAAAATATTCAAAAACGGTACGTTCCATTTTGGAACATTTATAATATTAAAGCTGACGATGGCCTATATTAGATAGGTTGAGAACGTTTGTAAAAATAAAAGAATTTTAAGCTCAGCAAAATTAGGTGTTGGCGAAACTGAAGTGATAACTTCAGTTTTATTTTCCACTTTTTTTCGCATTAATTTATTTTTTGGGAATTTGCGCATATGTACTGAGTTTGATGAACCTTTAGATTTACATCCAAATTCACAGTAATACTTATTATTTACCATTGTAGGTTGAACACTTTCTAATTCTAACAGACCATAAACTTTATACCCATAGCAGCCGCCATTTCGTAGTTCGCGTTAATAGCGCTAGATGTCAGATCTATTGTTGGCACAAGCGAATTGAATATAAAGTGTTTGAATGTATAAATTTTTAAAATTTACTTTACTATTTTATAATTTTTAATCGATTTTTAACAAATTTCAAGTCGATTTTACTTGGATTTTGATGGTAATTAATTCAAAATTTAAAAATAAAAATGCAAAACTGTCATTTGTGTATTAGACATACTTGTGTAGATTAGGAAAGATAAGCGTATTAAACTGATTCTAAATTTTCAACGGAATAAATTTTGAAAATAATCAGGTATATAATATTAATAGGTAATCTATGGTAACCTTATGATAATCGTTAAAAATAACCGCCCCAATATTTTTACATTTCTGGACTCATGGCACCTTTAAACTTCAAGAAATGCCAAAAAATTAGGTTATTTTTCGGTATGTATGGATGTTATGCGTGTGGGGGGCACGATTTTCTTCATCCTATTTGAAGCTTAATACTGTATATCCTCTGCTTTTTGTCGAAAATTTTTCAAATTTTGCAGGGAGTTTGTTTATTAGGAGGATTGATGCTATTAAATTTTGGTGGTTAAAAGATGAGGATATTTAGATAGAGGGGTCGTGTCATATCTCCAGTAGGATCGGTCTTAATGACGATTTACTCGTTATTAGCAATTACAATTTTTTTTATAGAACTCACCTTATCCTCAAAATTAAGTTTTTGTCATTTTAAAATAATTAAAGATAAAACAGGTTTTAAAATAAAATATCGTAACAGATTGCGCCACGAAATGTTGCAGGGAAAGTTAAGCAACTCGTTGCTGGATTTTTTCAAGCTGCTATTTTTCAATTTGTGCTTAAAATTTGTTACCTTAACAGTTGGTAACCTTAGAACCATTTCGCGCAGGCTTGATTGTGAAATACTATAAAGCCATATAAATGTATACTTGGACCGTTGCAATTTCCAATTTTTAATTTTTAACGTAATATTATTGTTCCATATTTTGCCATTTATTAATTCAAATCAGACACTTAAGTAGATCTGTCTTTTGGTGCCTGTGTTTGGTGCAAACCCGCGCGCCCGGTTGTCTGTTTGGAAAATCGTTTGCCATTGCTAATACAAGATATCCTGCGATAGTTTGCACGATACCCTATATAATTCACCAGGTTAATAAATGTTTTGACATTAACACTGAGAAAATTTTGTTTATAACATTGTTTATTTCTGAAACTTTTACTTTCTAATAAATGAAATCAAAGCAAATAAGACTGTGTTCCTGAAGTTGGTCTTGTGTTTTGTAAAAAGGAAATTCATTTTCTTAACTCAATCTTTAAATATACATGTTTTGGGCGATTAAAACCTCTTGCTAAAAGCAACTCAGGCTCTTTCTGTAATAAAAGGAAAATATTTTGTGTTTTAAAATATACAAAACTTTGCAGAATATTTCAATGTTATCTTTCTTTACCTTTGTATTAATTCCTGGTTTAAATCTAAGGTGTTGTAAAGTTTTAGCTAGAGCCATCTTAACTTCCATCAAAGCAAATCTCATACCTATACAATTTCTTGGTCCAACTCCAAATGAGAAATTGGTGAAAGGAAGCATGTTACTCTTGTCAGATAAAAATCTATAGATATACATCAAATATAATTAAAAAATTTTCGTGATATATTATTAAAACTATCATATATTAAAAACACATAAAAAATATTTTAAAAAATTATAAATATTGAAACAACCTTATTATATTGTGTGACTGATTCAAGAAATCGGAAGGATTAAAATGAATATAAAAATTAGTTGAAATATTAATTAAAATGATGTCTTAAATAACGTATAAAAACTCAATACATATTATTATTGATTACATGATTATTTTTAAAAATTGCAATCAGTCTATCTCTTTAACCATCGATTATGAAAAAAAAAACTATAATAAAAAGTCTTTAAAATATTGTAGAAAGTAATTCATAAATAAAATGAAATTAAATATTAAACTTGCCTTTCGGGATCAAGTTTATCTGGATCTGGAAAGTATTTAGGATCATGATTAAGAGCATAAACAGGTACTCCTATTATTGTGCCTTTTTCAACGACAATTCCTGTATCGCCCAATTCGTGATCTTCTACTACCCTACGCTCTAATCTACGTATATTAATAAAATATGTCATTTATAACTTAGGGCTCTAATCCACGTATATTTACAAAATATATCATTCATACAATTTGTGTTTACATAAGTATTACAAAAAAGAACAGTTTTTTTAATACTAATGTTTTTAATATCAGCATATATTGTTCTATCAGAGATATTATACATAGCATAAATAATTAAAATATGGGTATATATACAGTATATTATTTATCTTTTCGGCTGTAAAAAATGTTATTTTAATTGAATTCTGAATAGAAAACAGACTGAAACATAAAAATTACGGCAAAACGTAAATATTTGTACTTTCATTAATTATTAATTCATCAAAAAACGATATGGGCAGAAGAACGACAAAGAAAAATAAAACGTGTTATGAACAGTAGGGTGGACGAAGGTTTATAATATCATTTATGATCTAAGCGACTAATAAAAATCGAAATAGAGATTTTTCTACTTTGTATTATCAAGCAGATGTAATTTTGCGAACATTTTTGCTTTTTTCAATAAATGATTTGTAAAAAAAATTATAATTAAGCCATCACGAAGCTGTTAAAATCATAAATGACGTCATAAATGCCAGAGTACTGAATATCTTCCTACTGGCCGGCAAATCGCCTTCGTAGCACGACTTTTGAACTTTCATCACATAAACGCTGTTGTCACTGTTTTAATTAAGTTTCTTTTTCATTACTACTGTACTACGGTACTTGTTGAATGAATAACTCGGGAATAGGTTATGATTTCTAGGTACAGTACCTTAAGTTTAATTCCAACAATAAGACAGAAGTTTAGTAACATTAATATGCTTGACAATAAGTGATGATTGACAACTTAACCAGTCCTCTTTATCTGTTCTTTAACAGATAAAGAGTATTCGTCGGCTTTTTACAACCTCCCCTTCTCCCAATTCCTATTTTCAGCGCTTTATTCGACGCTTACGGTCAAAATTCATTTTCTGAAAAAGTACTTGAACCGATTCTCTGTTTTAGTTTTAAAATATTTCGTACGTAATTAACTTTTTCAGAATATTGATGACGGGTCTTTACGCTTTCGTAAGGCTGTTATGGATGACGGAGTCCGATATTTAGAGATAAACATGTCCTATTTGAAAGGTCTGGGAATTGTAAATATGCCGTTAAATAGAGTTGTCCTCTAATCAGGAGTGTCCGTTAACGGTAGTTTCACTGTATTATGATTTATTGTTTACAGATCTGACATAACTTTTGAATTGTAGAAGTTCGTAGCCGGAAAAGATTTCCAGAAGCATTTTCACAGTGAGAAAATATCAACTTTTAAGTGGCCTTATATTTTATTTTATTTACAATTCCAACTCAAAATTTTACGAGTTAGAGCATTCCGTTCTAAACATTACTGTATTATTTTTTAATAGAAAAATCATTCATTTATAAGTAAGGTGTATATCTAAAAATTTAACGTATTTTTATTTTTAACTATTTAAATTATGCTATTGGCACAATTAATTAATTTAGAATAATTAAGATATAATTTAGAACTAATGCTCGCTCAGGGTCTAGACGTTTGTGTAATACCCGGTTATGTTGAGTTTCGCCTTTCACTTCATGATTGTCCCCATTGTAGCCTTAGCCGAAAAAAGTCTTTTTAGTGACAACAAAGCGAAGAGCTAAAAAATGAAGAAATCTTATGATGTTTAAATATTAATTATTGTGACATTGTCACAGTGCCAGGTATAATTATCAATCAGATTTTAATTTAAATTAAATTATCGAATAGTTTTCAATTCTACACCAAATTTATCGCTGTATACAGTAAGGAAAAACTCTTGAATTGAAATCATATATTTCCGGAAGTTCTATGAGCTACTCAAGTTATCTATCTGATGTGAACAAAACATGTTCAAAGCATAACCACCATTGTCTGCTACCATCTGAGAGCCTAAAATAGCAAGTTCAACGGTTGCATACAGTGTATGCCTTGGAACGCCTACGCACATAGCGTGCAATGCTGTCTTTAAGGTCTGACACAGATATTATGGGATCACGCTAGACCAAGTCTTTGAGATAGCCTCAGAGCCAAAAATTGCATTGGATTCAAGTCTGGGGATCTTGCAGGCAAATAAGCCATGATTTCAGTTTGAAAGCACCCTCCAGTAATGGATTTTGGAACTAACATTTTTTACTCATGTCCTTCTCACATATATCAGGGCCTGATTTTAGCCTCCAAAAGTGTCTGTCAGCCAATTTGCACGGTTTTGTGCTAGGAGCGCTGATACAGACCATGATCACCTTCACATTTCAATGGCGTTGTACTAGTTAAACACATTTCTGGTGAAGTTGTTTCGCATAATTTTATTTGTATGAGTGCAAAGGCGAATAAGACAATAGTGTGATTAATTAAGGATATAGGTTACATTAACGGGTATGGTTTATTACTTCGTACCACGTTGCAAATCGACGAAAGGGAAGACACCCGGCGTGTCATTCTATGAATTTCCTTCGCAGGATAGTATACGAAAGGCATGGGTATAAAACACATGAAGATCTTCCAAAAATCTATGTCGGATCTATAAGATCCGATATAGATTTTTGGGACAGATCTCATACGTAATTAGGGTTTCTCATTTCCCGGTCTTTTGCTTGTCCCGGGGTTCCGAGAAAAAGTGAAATGTTTCCGGGATCGCGGGAAATATCGGGATACAATTAATTACTTTTAAGATATAAAATATATCTTAATTATCTTAATTATCTAATTATTTTTAATTTTTAAGTAACTTAATACGTCCTGCAACCTCCAAAAGAATAATATTAATAATGCTGTGTAAAATATATATTAAAAATTACTTTTGAATTAAGTAGAAATTCTCACAACTAGAAAAAAATTTATTAAAGTTTGTGAAACTTACAAAAAAATGCCTTTGAATTGAGTTGAAAATTTAAAGAAAAAAATGAACTTAGATTGCAGCTCTAAGTTAAAAAGTAATTTTCGTTATTTATATAAAGATAATACAAAATATTATTGTAAATTTTTATTATAATATCTTAATATTAATTCGACGATAGGGATTTTGCCGCCTCTAACAAAGTGCCTAAAAAAGCATAAAACTGTCTTGACAGACGCCAAACAATGGGATCGAAAAACTAAGAACAGGCCCTGATATATACGAGAAGGTCATGATTTGCTCTAGAAATATTCCCATCATCTCATTGAGACGTTCTCAAATTTTCATGACTTTCTGATCAATTTTTTTTGCTGTAGCTAGCTGGGAAATGACATTTTTAATTTGGGACACCCTGTACTTTCTTAAATATTTAAAAGCATAAGAAAAATAATCAGATTACAAATTACATGTAAGTTAATCATATATTGATATAATAAATTAATCAATTACAACAATTATAACGTTATATTAAAATATGAAATATATGAAAATTACCTCACTCCTGGAGGATATTTACGAAGTACTTCTTGAACGAATGCATTTAAATACTTCATTTCAGAAACCGAATCGTAATTTAATCCTCCCTTAAAAAATTTTAATTTACAGAAAATAATTAGACACAATAATCAATTTTGAAGTGTTAGTTAAATAATGTCCACTTATTTCAAATTAACAACATAGTTAATTGACAAAAATGTTATCAAATGAAGGCATAAATATCGAAATTTTAAACAGTAATTTACAATCTTTCAATATAGAATCAAAATGAAAACTTGCACAAGTCAATGCGGTAATCAAATTTGTGTCACACTTTCTCCAGTATCCACAATCTGGATAATAGATTTTAATTTAAGGATGTGAGATAGCTATGTGCTTAATTTGAAATAAAAAATCTAAGTCGTTGAAATTATTTTGGGTAACATATATACAGTTATATACGCATTGGCAGTTATGTCCACTCTTGACAAGTTCGTTGACGATTAATTATGTATGTTTTGGTTTCGTCCGGTTTTTTTACCGATCTGTAAAGTCTTTTATAATATTTAATAAAATCAATGAACTTACCGATTTTTTAATAGTTTCATCAACTTCGTTAATAAGTTTTTCTTGTATATCTGGATTGACTGCTAATTCATGAACAGAATACGAAAGAGTTAATGTTGGACCGAAGTATCCAGCAACGAAAAATGTAACGCATTGGCTCACCACATCCTCCAAATCAAATTCTGTATAATATAAATAAAATTTTTAATCATGCGTATAAAATTGTGATCTATTCCATTTCGATAGCAAACTGGATGGCCAGGGGATGAAGGTGTCAGTATTCCGCTCTGGAGTCTCCAGAGCATACAGCATACAGTCGACTCCCCTATAACACTGTTAATAATTCCGTTTTATATGAATTCCATGTTGTACGAGTCACTTAGATTTTACAAATACGTGAGCCGTTCACAGCCCGGCACACGTATTTGTAAAATATAAGTGACTAAAATGTAAAAACGAAAATTTTTAAAATGCAAATCAAAAGGTATTTGTTTTTCTATATTTTATCATCTTTAAATTTGTATTCACTAATTAATTAAAATGTATATCTTTCTTCAAATTTCCCTAAACTTTAAATTTTTCACAATGAAGTATTTGTATCATTGAATAGTATGTACCGGTAGTACACAATCTTATAATGAAGATATGTTACAATTTATTTCAGGTTGTTCCTCAAAATATATAGAGGAAAATTGGAAATCTTGTGAAGACTTGTGTGTAAACGTGTGTGACGCTGAAATTTTTATGTATTGTACTTCTCGCTCAGTTATAAACTTCATTGATGTAGTCGGTACCCATTTTCGCTCATCTGAACCAACTATTAATTTTGGATTCATCTGATGATCATACAATTCTCTTCCAATCTTCTAAGGTGCAGTCTTTATGTCATTTGACAAAATTAAGACGTCTCTGTTTATGTAATTTGGTAAGTTTAGGCTTCCTGGGCTTTCGAATTGTTACCTTTTAGGCATCTGCGGAGAGTTGAAGTACTCACTTCCATTTCTGAGCCCCTTTTTACTTGTGATGATGTATCGCACATCCGCTCGTTATCAAACGTTTTCGTTTTGGCGCTCAACGTTTTCTTCCTTCCAGCTATTAAATTTCCGTGGTATGGTAGCTCACTATTTTTTATTCTGGATACACTCAAACGCACAATAGTAACTTTTAATACTGTTTTCTCAAAGTAAAAACTTTCTTCGGCAGGTCGACAATACTGAATTTCTTCTTACTGGATAGCTTCTTCATGATGACGCATATCAAGCAGCAGTTCATTTGCATATTTATACTCTAATATTGAGATAATATGCACGAAATTACATTGTTTAACGTTTATGTTATAACAAATTCTCTTATACGTCAAAATCATTCCAATACAACAAGCAGTATTTATATACCTTAGATATTTTAAAAATATAAAAATGATTTTAATTTTTTGCTATTATGTGAATATTGTAATAATCTTACAGCTGATTTATTTCCTTTTCCTTTAACTTTCGCATATCGAATAGTTTGTGCTATTCGAACTACTTTGAGAGGATTTCGACGCTTAATGTATATTCTACTACATGATTCTTTAAAAGCTTTAAAAAAACATGTACTTTATTGATATATTAATAAGATGAAATTAAATAATTAAAAAAAATTATCGTAATGCTTACTTTCAGTTTTGTTTTCTTGATTCTCTATTGCTTCTAATAACAACTGAAGAAAATCTCTGGGGATTTCATCCTGTCGAGATAAATTTATAAATGATCTAAAAATGATTGTTTTTATTAATAATTTACTTAAATTACCTTTTTTAACAATTTTCTTTTGTTTATCACGTCATCGATAACAAGTTTAAAAAAATCGAGCGATTGGGGGTCAAATACAGCCAAGCGAACGAGTCTGGCCACAGCGGGAAAAAGTACTGCAAAAATAATAACGTACATCAGTATAACTTTCGACACTGATCATTTTAGTAATTCAAAAATGTATAGAAAATTTTGCGAAATATTTAACGACACGAAGAATGCTATTACAAGATGTCCCAAAAGTTAGGATGCGCTGCAGATGTTGAAGATGTCATCCTCGAACCTGATGATAAGTCCAGAGTCTAGACAACTTTATTATATTAAATGCATCTGTAGTGTAAGATTTGACAAGATATATGAAAACATTTTAAATTTGAAAATATTGAAATACAAAAAAATGACATTATCTAATTGTAAATTTTGGGACATCGTGTATTAGCATTTGTATTTGTGAAAAAAATTATATTGATTCTGTAATGAAACGAGTAAATTTAAATGATAATGTATTCATATATGTTATAAATGTATATAAATTTAAAGATTTATAGATTCCCAATGAAGAATTAAATATATA